AAAAACCCCAAAATGCATTTTCCTGTTTTTTCCCCCCTAATTTTCTACTGCACCCAGGCTATCTGAACTATCGCCATCATCATCATCGTCATGATTATCATTATCATCATCATTATCGTCATTATCATCATCACCATCATCATCATCGTCATTATCTTCAACATCATCATCATCATCATCATCACCATCATCGTCGTCGTCGTCATCGTCGTCGTCATCATCATCATCATCACCATCACCATCACCATTAAAGAGGTCAAATAATAAATGAGACACAGATATAGACTGATGCTAAAGTTGTGTTTGTGTGTTACTATCCTGAAAACAGTACTACGACTGTTTGTTATATTTTTGTGTATGCATGTGTATGTATATTTTCCCAATTAGACAAGCTTTAAACTAATGTTATGTGTAGTTACAGTAGCCTACATTATACAGTGCACAAATAGTTCATTGTGCCTAAATGCTGTGAAACGTGTTGTAACGCCCTGTAACAAATTACTCTAAAATCCAAATTTAATTAATAAATGTTTTCCAAAATATTAATTCCTGACCGTCCTGTGTTCCGTGCACTACGAACGATCTGTCCAATATTATGTGTCGTCATTTAGATGTTACCGTTGAAGTGCAATCGAGGATTGTGTATAAACACTATTTTCAACAAACACAAGTAACACAGCAACAGTAGTCATATATTGTTAGGTTATATTTGATTAATATAAGAAGTAATACATTTTCATTGAAAATATCAACATTTCTCAGAAAGGATAAAGAATGAATCGGTAATGAATAAGATATTTTGGAGGTTTCAGCACGTTTTAGTTTAATGTACCAGCGTTTATTTATTTATTACTTTTATATACTAGATGTTTAGTTTGAATTTTACTAATACCGGTATATGAAATTTATATGGCTAGCACGATAAATGAAAGATGATTCCTTTGTGTGATTAAAGACTGTAGACTTACGCTGAGCAAACACTATCATGTATCTTCAGTGGCGTATCTAGAAGTCTTGAATTGGAGGGGGGCTGATGGGGGGAAGAGGGAGCGAAGCTGAAGTTGTGGGGGGGGGGGGCGATGATCAGTTGAGGGGCGCTAATTCGCAAAATAAGGTGATTTTAAACTACTTGACCGTGATTTGAAACCAGTGTCAATATAATCTTAGGTAAGCATGTGGTTGACATAAGCAAAACTTTAGTCCAATGAAACTGTTTATCATCTTGATACATTCCAACAAAAACTGACCCTACAGCATCCCCCACCGATCGATCTAACGTGACGTTGTTATGTGGGTGTTTTATAGATTATTGAGAATGGTAATATCACCGAAAAAATATTTAAAAAAAACTGATGAAGATTAGTACTGTTTTATATACAGTATTAGATATTTCTTTCATAGTATATTTTTGCTTATTTTGGTAATAAGTGTATGGTTTATTACCAAAATTTAGTTGTCATTATTTTAAGAAACAAATTTAGCCACCATCACTTGATAAAACCCAAAATTAAAAGAACATGTTTGTAATAAACAAACAATATGTGTTTATAGTATAGTATAGGAGAGAAGCTGACTTAAAGGCTAGGTGCTACTTTTAACTTTAATTTAATCACAATATTGAATTTTAAATTTAATACATGTGACGCTGACCAAGGAAACGAAGAAAAGACCAGGTTGTATATTTTCAGAATTGTTCTTTTCTAAACTGCTAAAAATTGGCGGAATTTTGCATGATCTTAGTCAGAATTGCCAAGCCTCGAGTAACCCGTTTTCTCGGGATTTGGTTACGCTGGAAAGCCGCAAGATGGTTTAGGATGTAGATCGGGATATTAAGCAACATCACCTACCTTATTGAATCGGCCTTATTGTTTACGTTCAATCAATACTATGTCAATCGCATAAAACAACATAGTTTGCAATTGATTCGTAATTTTACTCAATTAGGACCCTCCATTGTAGGAGATGCGTCTGATTAATGTTGTTATAGGCCTATCAGTATTATGAGCCGTTAATGTAATTTTCTACTCCCAATGTACCAATCCCTGCTGTTTCATACCGGTAGTGCATAATCATTCAGTTTATTACATGCATTTAAGTTTAAACGTGCGTGCTGGTGTATATCTCCGGTGTACGTGATGTGTAATTATGCACATGTATATATACATGTGCATATTCACATCACGTTATACATATAAGTGCATATCTTTCTTGTCTTACAGTATGTCTTTTTTATCTAGCCCAATAAGAAGAATCTCTTAAATCTTTAATTTTGCGACTTGAATCCTGATTTTTGGGGTCTAGCCGAGAAATTAAAAACCCTTGAATCTCTCGAAACTATAATTATTTTTAACGTTTTGTGAGATGTCCTTCCAAGTAATTAAACTATTCATTAGTGTGCATTGATGAATATTTCCCTCTCAGCCGCCTGTTAGAAACTACCATTCACCAGTCGCCCTGCTTAGAAAGTAATCCAGTCAGCATGTTCAGTCATACGCCGCACTCACGCTCACCTGTCCAAATACCTTTGTCGAATCTAATTAAACATAATAATTAATTTATCGAAAAGCAAATCTTAGAGAACTATTTAAATTGTTGAATATTTTCTCCTTTGTGTGTATTGTGTTTCCATTTTAAAACTGAGTTGTATATATTTACCAACTGTAATTTAGGAATAATACAAGAAAAACATTTGATAATAAGAGGAGAAATGTGTTGTTATTAATTCAAGATTCAATATAAATTTATTGCAAAACAAATGGTTGTCTTGAAATGAATTAATTACTCTAGTCCTTGGCCAACATACTGTAAAGTAATAATACAGTAAATCTTTCTCAAAACAATAATGTATTACTTAGCTCCTCGTAATGACCAGAACAATTATTCACAAAATGTGACACAAAAAAATGACACCACACGAAATCGTGGTGTCTGCACTCGAAAACCTAACATTTTACCCAGTCCATAATCCAAAAAAACACATTTTTCGTCAAAATGAAGAAAAATGAATTTATGTCGTGACAGGGCGTATGCTTGGCGATTTTGGTTTGAGGGGTAATTAATTTTAATAGTTTGCTTTAGACATGTGAATCCTCTCTTTGCTTTGCTTCCAAGCCTCGCAAACCTCATTGCATTTTATGTTTTTAATTTTAACTGCGTTTGCATTTTTGGTGTTTAACATCACATTTTATTTTAACTTCTAACTGCGTTTGATTGTTTGGTGTTAACCGACTTTCTTTGATTAAGCGTAGTCAGCGTTTCTTTGATTGACATTCTTGATCGGTGCTATTACAAATACCACTTCGATTTATACGGATCTTATAGGGATTTACACGAGTAAGTGCTATTTACTTATCAACTAACTAGGCCTGCCAGGCTTCTTTTAAGAATATGGCCGCAGTGGGTACAAATGTCTGTCTGTTAGGACAGCGTTCCGCAAACTTTTTACTTCAAGGCCCAATTACGATTACAGGCACCAAGCCGCGGCCCAGCAGCCCAGCCGCGCCAGGAACCAACATAACAAATCCTGGCAAGAACTTTGATTATGAAGCCTACATGTATGCCTATATACAATATTTTGACATCATTATCTGTTCTCTCAATGAAAAAATTTCATTGTATACAAATTAAATATTTTATTAAATAAATAATACCGTACATTTGTGTTCCCCCAACACAATTGTTGATTGTTTTTTTTTTCCTACCATGATTTAACGAAACACGGTTCAGCCACACACGTCATAGCTTTCTCCTTCCAAAAATATTTACGCACAATCTGTTACTCTGCAACTTTGAACGACTACCTTACTATACAGGTATTAGGTTTAGTAATAAAGTATCCACATGGGCATTCGGTTATGAAGAAATGTGTGGTGTCGTTTACTGTAGTGATTTTTCTAGGACAGATCTTTATTTTTATCTTCAGTTCATGACTCATCCCATCATTTCTCCATACCGGATTTACTCGATCTTACAGGGTTAAGACGAAAACATAGTGTCTAGCTCCCCAGGGGCATATGCACAAAACCCGCTTATAACTCAAATAGCACGCATCATCTGGCACTTTAGCAGACTGTCCAAGCGATGCATTCGCTGTAACAAAGCGGCTTTATTAAAAACTACTTTCCCCATGATGAATCGTCTCTTTGTTATTTTTTTTTCAGTTTTGAGACGGCGTCGCGGCCCTCCAAAAATGTTTCGCGGCCCAAATTTGCGCCGCGGACCATAGTTTACGGAACGTCGTGTTAGGACATTCATTTATCCGACGTCTAAAGACATATTGCGAAGATTTTGAATTTTTGGACCTACCTGGATGCGACCTTATTTATAACTTAGAATATCGTGCAAAAGGACTTAAAGTAGGTGATTTTACATAACTCTTACACGCTAGGCCTACACTGCCTGATATAGTATACATTCAACTAGGAATACACATTTTGAGTTAACTATACTAAATTGTTTTTCGTCATGGAATAAAATGACAATTTCCATCCAAACCGGTGTTTGCTTTCTTTGTTTCGTCTTGTACTCGCCTCCTGCGACATGAAAATATATTATAGAATGCCATGCAAATAAGTAACTATAGAACCTCACTGGTGCCACAATAGATATATTTTTAATAGTTTTTCTGTTCAGGCTGTGTTCGTCCACTGCTGGATGAAGCCCTCCTGAAGCAATTTCCAGTTACCTCTGTCTGTTGCTGCTCTGTTCCATGTTGCCGTTTTCATATACGTGGTTGTTTCGACTCTCCAACTCCTTTATTTTCCTTCCTTGTGATGTTGTCTGAACCACGATTATTAATAAAGATCACTGATAACAATAGTTGTAGTATCTGTCTTTATTCGCCATGTTTTGCTCTCTTGTTTTACACACATGCGCACAACACTAAGCGTTGCCAGACTGCACATTACCAGTTATCCAATTTGTAGTTTGTAGGATACTACATTCCTCCCCTCCTTTTCCACGACCGAGGTTGCAATTCCTTGAGTCTTTTTTACCATTTGTTATCCTGTAATCTTAATGTGTGTCCAGCCCATCTCCACTTCCTTTCCTTGATTTTCTCTATGGTATCCTTTACCGTTGTTTGTTTTATAAATGATGCTGTGTCTCAATTTGTCACGTAATGAGATGTTGAGCCTTTTCTTTTCCTTAGCTCTCTGTCTGGTTCTTAGTTTTTGTTCCATTTCGTTTGTGGTTGACCATACCTCTGCATCGTATGTTAATTTGTTCAGGATGCACTGCTTTAAGATTTGACTTTTTAAGGAATTTGGTATTTGTTTGCTAGTTAGAAGTCCCTTGTACATTCCTTCCAAAGCATTTCCAGCCTTCCTTCCTTTATCCTAATAAGAATTTCTAATTTGTGGTGTCCACCATTTTTAGTGATTGACCAAGATACTTATGTGTATCAATTTTCTCTATCTGGTGATTCTCTATTGTTATTTTATCTGTTGTTTCGTAGTTCATGTATTTGGTTTTTTCCAATGTGCATTTTACTTTGTTTTACCTGTTTACTTTCTTCATTCAAACTCCGAAGCTGGTGTTGTAGATCTTCGACTGATGATGTCTTGAGCGCTACATCATCCGCAAATCTTAAGTCTGTGAGTTGTTCACTATATATGTTGATCTCCTTACCATCCAGGTTTGACTTCCTAAATACCTCTTCTTCCAGTGTGGATGTGAATATCATAGGTGATAATGATTCTCCCTGTCTAACACCTCTTCTTATCTGCACTTTTCTTTTTTATACATTGTTGTCTATATGAATTTTTGCGCTGGCATCTGTGTAAATTTCTTCCAGTATACACATGTTTAGCCCTCATCGATTCCCATTTTGCGTAACACACTAAACATATCATCATGCTCAATACAATGGAGTCGAAAGCTTTCTGAGAGTCAACGAACCCCAAACAAAGATTGAATTGAAATTCATTAGCTTTTTCAATGAGTTGATGTACTACTTGTAGGTGATCAGTTGTGAAAATCCTTCCTTGAAACCAGCTTGTTCCCTTGGTTGTTGTTGTTCCATCAGATTCTTTAGACTATTTTGGATTATTATGGAAAATATCTTGTATTTATTAGAGAGAAAGCTGATTGGTCTATAGTTGATTATAACTGTCTTTTCATTTTTCTTGTGTAGTAGTAATTATTTTGGCTTCTGTCCATTTGACAGGGATTTTCTTTTCACGTAAGATTTGGTTGTACATCAACTGTCTCCTCCCTTACTAATTTAGTGATGTCCCTTGTTAAACTATCCGGTCCTGGTGCTTTATTTTTCTTCATTTTTTCTGATGGCATCTTCTACTTCTGATAGTAGTATACAAGGAAGTGTATTTGATAAGTAAAAATAGTTTTTACTGATTAAGAAAAAATTAGGGACTGGAACCCAGTCTACATCACACTGTGTGTGCACCGTCGAGGATAAAGGGACTCTGGCTCCAACAGGATCTAATCCACAAATTAGTAATAGTTATCCTCAGAATCTCACATCCGTGGTATTAATTCACCTTTAGAATATACAATCAGTCAAAACAAATTAGAGCATAGAATTAATGATTTTAGAAAAATCAATTCGCGTAGAATCTGCGTTTATACATTATAAGTCTCTATAGTCTAATATTATGATCATACCCTAATTTGAATAATATTGCATTGATTTCAAAGCTGAAGCCTATAAGCGATTTTCAGCTTAACCATAACTCCATTATGTGTGAGCATTTTAGCCAGTTGTAAAAAGATTGTGCCTGGATGGAACTGCACGTACTGTATCATAGATTTATATTATCTAATGGATATGATACTCGCCTTGACCGCGAGATGGCGCAGGTTCGAATCCACCACGGTCAGTATTTTCATACAACTGAAAATGTTTTTCGTTGAAGGGCTATTCTTGATACGAGTACAACAACGTGTTCATATAATTATAGGGCTGATATTATTATACTTATTCAATACGACTATACCGTGCTAACGGTGTTATGCAACAGCTCTTGAATATCATTTGCTATTTAGCATGTTACACACGCTCGGCTATGGTTGTGGTGGTAGAACAAGTCTTCTCAGATAAGAACTGTAAACCGTAGGCCCTGTGTACACAACGGCTCGTGTGCACTATAAAGAACCAGCACATAATTCGAGACGAGTAGGGGAATACCCCGGTGTGCTGGTACAGACAGCCCCTGAGATGGACGACGAGAGTTGCTGGTTCCGGTAGAACAGAAACGAAAGAACCCTTAGGGACGAAGAAAGTCATTGATCGAGCTACTAAAATCCACATATCAAACGCCATCAGCATCTTCTTTGATGGATACCGACGCTATACAAATCTACATCATCATCATAATCGTCATCATTATGATCATCATCATCATCATCATCATCATCATCATCCTCATCCTCATTGTCATTGTCATTGTCATTGTCATTATTATTATTATTATTATTATTATTATTATTATTATTATTATTATTATTATTAGTTTAATAGTTTTACTACAGTAGGCCTATTCAATTTATATTCTATACTCACACTTTTATGTTCAGCCATGAAATTTCCCCGTAATGGGATGAATAACGTCTCTTTGTATCCTTTTAATTCAATTTAATTTTATTCAGCGATACACAATAACACATTACATACAGTGCATAATTTGATTGAAATAAAGCTAAATCAACTGAAGTAATTCTTTGAAATCACTTACAAAACATTGCATCGCTCAATCATGTAATGGTGGAGAACTGGTACCGTATGCATCGAATGCTAATAAGTTACATCAAAGGCTTGTCAAACATAGATTATCATTTTCACCTTCTACGAATATACCTGTCTACAACTGAACGTGTCACTGCAATATGTTTTGTCACAGACAATAAAAGCCGTTTGTATAGTAAATTAGGCGAAATATTCTGTTGACCTACCTTCGCCACCAAACATTAAAAAGTAGTTATTGATTCAGATAGATTCCACCATGAGTTGTGTTTTGATACCTTTGAATATTTTCCTCAGTTAAGTACGACAATTTTTGAAATTCAGATATATGAAAAGTTACCTCGAAGAAAATTACTCTATAAATAAATAGCTGATAAATAGTCTGTTTTATAATTGTTTTTCTTAATGTTTTACTAATAATGTTTAAGATTTGATGCGTCGCAAAAGAGAGAAAAATCTTATCCAATTTAATTCTAGTTTTATACCAACAGTTACACTATTTTACTGCATGATGCAATACTTGTTTTTAGTAATATATTAATACTATTTTAAATATTCAACTAAAAGTGATAGATTTATAAGCAAGAATGTATTTTATTTAACTAGCTTTTAATATCATTTATCCGAGTTATGTGAAAATTTTAGGTTTAAGTATATATAATTTATACTTAATATTAAAAAAAAAAATCCGTCATTAACTATTGATTTTTATTGTTTATATTATCAAATTATTGTTGACATTATTTTATCATTATATTTGTACTCTAAAATTTAAGATAAAATGAAAAGCACTGTTGCCAAAATTCTATTTGAAATAAATGTGGGTATGAATCCCACAAAAGAGAGAAAAAAAGTTTTAATGCTTCACAAAAATAGGTTTATGTACATAACATGTGCTGCAGCAGCAAGAAATATAAATATTACACTTTTTCTGAATATATCTTAGCCAGTATACGATACTCTATCATAACGTTCGAATTCAACGAATTCAAAGCCGGACAACGTGCTAAAGTGGTTTAATAATAATCTACGTGTAATCTTAACAAATAATCCCTATTATTACTTATATCGTAGTAAGGTTTTCGTTAAAATCAAAAATACATAAATACAAATACTTGATCAGTTAGTATAAATTCAAAATTTCCTTGAATACTTCATAAGAAAACTTTATTTCAGAAAATCGACGTCGTTGTCTGACGACATTAAATTGCCTCGCGAGTGTAAAGTGAATGAGTACATCTAGGGTTTTCCACAAACTTTGCAAACCTTGCTAGACACTGATGTTGCATTTGAAGAACACGAAAATCGTCTGCCCTTTCGGCATACTCGGATTACCGGAACATCATTTTTAAAGCGTTTCCCTAAAATATACATTAAAAAAACAGTAAAATATATTAAAACCAATGTGTATGTTTAATTGCTCAAGAGTACGGAATTAATGCTGGTTTCCTGTCGACTAGGTGTGACACCCTTTATAATACAGTACAGTAATATATCTGTCTCTTATACACATCTAGATGTGTATAAGAGACAGGAAAAGGTCAAGGGACATGATCATGGAAATTCAATTGTTTTCCCTTAAACTTAATAGAAAACAATATAATCGCCCTGCGTATTGTTACGGTGTCCAGTCACAGGGCCGGGCGGAGGTATGCACTCTATGGAGCGACCGCTCTAGTTCCCAGCAAACAGAAAACGTTCTTATATCGTTTGCGAACGTTGTGGCTAGGTATATCAAAATAACATTCACACAACGTTGTAAGAACGTTCAAACGTTGTGCGGTTATGATATTAGGTACATATGGTTCTACAAAATAACGTTTTCGTCACCAAACTGTAACGTTATTATAACGTTCTTAGAACGCAATATTGTTAGCTGGGTTTATTATGTAATTATTTCATCACATCTGGCACGTACTGTATCATATTTATATTATCTAATGGATATGATACTCGCCTTGACCGCGAGATGGCGCAGGTTCGAATCCACCACGGTCAGTATTTTCATACAACTGAAAATTTTTTTCTTTGAAGGGCTATTCTTGATACGAGTACAACAACGTGTTCATATAATTATAGGGCTGATATTATTATACTTATTCAATACGACTATACCGTGCTAACGGTGTTATGCAACAGCTCTTGAATATCATTTGCTATTTAGCATGTTACACACGCTCGGCTATGGTTGTGGTGGTAGAACAAGTCTTCTCAGATAAGAACTGTAAACCGTAGGCCCTGTGTACACAACGGCTCGTGTACACTATAAAGAACCAGCACATCATTCGAGACGAGTAGGGGAATACCCCGGTGTGCTGGTACAGACAGCCCCTGAGATGGACGACGAGAGTTGCTGGTTCCGGTAGAACAGAAACGAAGGGACCCTTAGGGACGAAGAAAGTAATTGATCGAGCTACTAAAATCTACATATCAAACGCCATCAGCATCTTCTTTGATGGATACCGACGCTATACAAATCTACGTCATCATCATAATCGTCATCATTATGATGATGATGATGATCATCATCATCATCATCCTCATTGTTATTGTCATTGTCATTGTCATTGTCATTGTCATTGTCATTATTATTATTATTATTATTATTATTATTATTATTAATATTATTATTATTATTAGTTTAATAGTTTTACTACAGTAGGCCTATTCAATTTATATTCTATACTCACACTGTTATGTTCAGCCATGAAATTTCCCCGTAATGGGATGAATAACGTCTCTTTGTATCCTTTTAATTCAATTTTATTTTATTCAGCGATACACAATACATACAGTGCATATTTTGATTGAAATGAAGCTAAATCAACTGAAGTAATTCTTTGAAATCACTTACAAAACATTGCATCGCTCAAACATGTAATGGTGGAGAACTGGTACCGTATGCATCGAATGCTAATAAGTTTCATCAAACGCTTGTCAAACATAGATTATCATTTTCACCTTCTACGAATATACCTGTCTACAACTGAACGTGTCACTGCAATATGTTTTGTCACAGACAATGAAAGCCGTTTGTATAGTAAATTAGGCGAAATATTCTGTTGACCTACCTTCGCCACCAAACATTAAAAAGTAGTTATTGATTCAAATAGATTCCACCGTGAGTTGTGTTTTGATACCTTTGAATATTTTCCTCAGTTAAGTACGACAATTTTTGAAATTCAGATATATGAAAAGTTACCTTGAAGAAAATTACTCTATAAATAAATAGCTGATAAATAGTCTGTTTTATAATTGTTTTTCTTAATGTTTTACTAATAATGTTTAAGATTTGATGCGTCGCTAAAGAGAGAAAAATCTTATCCAATTTAATTCTAGTTTTATACCAACAGTTACACTATTTTACTGCATGATGCAATACTTGTTTTTAGTAATATATTAATACTATTTTAAATATTCAACATAAAGTGATAGATTTATAAGCAAGAATGTATTTTATTTAACTAGCTTTTAATATCATTTATCCGAGTTATGTGAAAATTTTAGGTTTAAGTATATATAACTTATACTTAATATTTAAAAAAAAATATCCATCCTTAACTATTGATTTTTATTGTTACCATTATCAAATTATTGTTGACATTATTTTTATCATTATATTTGTACTGTAAAATTTAAGATAAAATGAAAAGCACTGTTGCCAAAATTCTATTTGAAATAAATGTGGGTATGAATCCCACAAAAGAGAGAAAAAAAGTTTTAAAAAATAGGTTTATGTACATAACATGTGCAGCAAGAAATATAAATATTACACTTTTTCTGAATATATCTTAGCCAGTATACGATACTCTATCATAACGTTCGAATTCAAAGCCAGACAACGTGCTAAAGTGGTTTAATAATAATCTACGTGTAATCTTAACAAATACAATAATCCCTATTATTACTTATATCGTAGTAAGGTTTTCGTTACAATCAAAAATACATAAATACAAATACTTGATCAGTTAGTATAAATTCAAAATTTCCTTGAATACTTCATAAGAAAACTTTATTTCAGAAAAACGACGTCGTTGTCTGACGACATTAAATTGCGAGTGTAAAGTGAATGAGTACATCTAGGGTTTTCCACAAACTTTGCAAACGTTGCTAGAAACCTTGCTAGACACTGATGTTGCATTTGAAGAACACGAAAATCGTCTGCCCTTTCGGCATACTCGGATTACCGGAACATCATTTTTAAAGCGTTTCCCTAAAATATACATTAAAAAAACAGTAAAATATATTAAAACCAATGTGTATGTTCAATTGCTCAGGAGTACAGAATTAAGGCTGGTTTCCTGTCGACTAGGTGTGACACCCTTTTAAATTTATTATACAGTACAGTAATATATTATTGTACAATAATCATTTATTTTCTATCTTTGAAAAATGTGTAAAATAAGAACGAAAAAAATAGGTGTAAGAAAATTTTAAGCCTGAAATTGGCCAAAAAATAAGAACACTCAGCCTCGGCAAAATTTTTCTGGTTCTTACAAAAAATGTGTAGAGAACTAATCATGACTATAATAGCTTTGCATTAGCTTCATTTGTAATTTTATGTTAGTGTACGATTATTAAATAGCGTATTATAACAATAACACTTGGTTTCGTAATAATTGCACAATTTAAAATAAGTCGTCATAAAGGCTGCGTCATAATTATCGTCGCTTTTTGGCTACGTTTATTTCTTTACAGCGAACTTTCGTAAGAGACGTAACACAACGCAACGCACGCGTGTTCACTCAAGTATAAATCACTGAATCTCGGTTTCCTGTCAACTCGTGATTTAACCTTACGTTACGTCCATTTCACCAGTCTCAATCGCTTTCAAGTCAAGTCGAATTTTGGTGCGATAAAACGAAGTAGAAGTAAGTGAAACTGCCTTCTTACGTCGACAGGAAACTAGGCTTTAAGAAGTCAGAATTTCTTACGATTGCGTCGTTTTAGACAATAAAAATGTAATTTAACAGGAAACCGGTTGCGATGTTCGACGTAACGAGTGGAGATGGTTGGGAGGTTTCCAGAATGATAATTGTAATTAGATTTAATCAATTAAATTTATTATATCAATTAGCCCTACTTAATACGGTATTGCCAATTTTTCGCTAATTTTAATAAACAAGCTGCATGACGGGAATGGTCGGGTAAAGACGTATGCTAACGGAGCTCTGCCGAAGATAACTGAAAAAGCCTTACAAGCCGCAACTTGCACTCCCCCACCATCAAAGAAAATTATTTATATACAGCAAAGTAAGTTTCTTGCATTATATAATAAATTTTACGAGAAAAAAATATACCAAGATGACTACGAGAAATAAAAATAAAAAGTCAGTTGAGCCAACGCCCACAGCTGAACCGGTTGAAAATCCCGCTGCGGGCGACACGTCGGCAGAGATTAATGCGCTTCGGCACGAATTCAGACAACTGTCAGCCGACATCAATAGAAAAAAAAAATAGATGACGGAATTAAATCAATAAAAACAAATCAACAAGTATTAATTGAAAAAAATGAAAATGGTGGAAGACAAGCAAAGAGTGATGGAGCAGTCTCTTGATTATTTTGCTGAAAATTCTAAGGAAATACAAACGGAAGTGAATACCTGCGTAAACAAAATGGAAGTGGAACTGAAAGAAAATCAGAATAAAGTTAATGCGCTGGAAAATAACCTACTCAAAATGGAAAGACACTCGCGGCGATTTAACCTGAGATTTGGGGGAATCGCAGAAGAGGAAGATGAGAATCAAAGACTCTCGGTGCTAACCAAAGCAAAGCAACTAAAGAAAAAGAATTTCTACGTTAGGGAAGACCTGCCTTTAGCCGATGTAAATAAGAAACGGAAACTTAAAGATATAATGTTGAAAGCCAACAACGACGGTAAACATCCACTGTTTCGTAATGGGTCACTATTCATTGACGGGAAAATGTGTCGAGATAGATAGCTCGATTGGGAGTTAAACAGAAAATTGGAAACTGTACGTATAAGTTACTGTGAATTTTATTAATCTTAAAATATTATAGATTAAACGGCACTATTTTGATTGCATCATTTTACCATAGGCTACTTATGTACGACCCAACTATCGATATCGGCGGAGCGATATCAAGAGATGTTAGATCGAAGCGTTTTATTCGATCAATAACTGAATTTTACATTACCATTTTTGTCTTTATATTTTATTATTTATCTGTATTTAATAAGTGAAACTGAAATATGTCTTTTTTAGAAACTACAAATACCGACGATTATGACACTGATATTGATATACCCAATTATAATGTTAACAAGTATTTAAGCGTTGAAGACTTCGACCAAATTAATTTCCAACAAGATTTAAATAGTTTATCCATATTTACTCTAAATTGTAGAAGTATAATAAGAAAGTTTGATATGTTAACCAATTATCTAGGCCGATTTGATCATGAATTTTCTGTTCTTGGATTGACTGAGACCTGGCTATCTAATAACCACCTTAGCAGTCTCTACGAGCTCCCAAATTACACAGCTATATACAATAATAGAAAAAATAAGTTAGGGGGTGGAGTAGCGCTATATGTAAAATCAAATATGTCTTTTCGATTGAGGGATGACCTAAACACCACTGAAAACATTATAATTGAAATCAATATTGGAAAGAACACAATCATATGCGGTGTTATATACAGGGCACCTAAATCGCACGTCCCCACCTTTAATGAACAAATAAGAGAATTAATGCAAATATGCAATAGTGAAAAGAAACGAACTTACCTCAAGGGTGATTACAATTTAGATATTAACTTATACAATGATAATACAAATGTCCAAGCCTATGTTGATATTATGCTCTCAGAATCGTTCATTCCGCTTGTAAATATGCCGACACGAATAACGGAAGACACAGCGTCAATAATAGATAACATATACACTAACTCATGCAATCTCCAAGATACTGACACCGGAATTTTATTTACCGATATTTCTGACCACTGTCCAATATTTTGTATAGAAAAGTCAATAACATATGAAATATATAACTCAAATAATTTTATTCTCAAACGTACTTATTCCGAACAACAAAAACAATCTTTCAGATCTGAGCTCGAAAACCATATGTGGGAAGACGTTTTGTCCAGTGAAAAATGCAAATGAGTCTTACCAACGATTTTCCAAAACGATTACATCACTGATCGATAAATGTTTTCCCTTAAGAAAGGAACGTATAAAAACAGACAGAATTCGATCTCTATGGATGACACTCGGAATTGAAAGGTCATTGAATATCTAAGAAAAAAACCAACAGAAATAAATAAACTAAAATGTATAGGAATATATTGACATCAGTAATTAGAAATTGAAAAGTAGAATATTATAAAGAAGATTTTGAAAAACGTAAGAATAGTATGAAAAAAATATGGGATGCAATCAACCAAATATTAGGGAGAAAAAGACTATCTTCTCTCCCAACTCAAATGAAACTTAAATCACAGTTGTTTAATAGTCCTACAGAAAAAGACAGAGCATTTAATACACATTTTATTAATATTGGCAGAACAATGGCTGAGAAAGCGAATAATGGACATGCAAATTCAGATGCGTAATAAAGTCGTAAATTCAATGTTTTTTATGCCAGTTTCTGAATATGAAGTAATGAAATATTTAAATGATCTTAATTTAAATAAATCCTGTGGAGATTATGGTATTGGTGCGAAGTATATAAAGAGTAATAGTGATATACTGGCTAAACGCATCTCTCATATAATTAATACATCGTTAGCGACAGGTTCCTTTCCCAGTCAAATAAAGTTAAGTAAAACTATACCGGTGTTCAAAAATGGGGAAAAAATGACATCAGTAATTATCGGCCAATATCCATATTGCCATGTCTATCAAAGATATATGAAAGAATTGTCTATGACCAGATTATAACGTTCATGAATAAACATAATCTTCTTAGCCAGTTACAATTCGGTTTCAGAGAGGGTCATTCCACTACTCACGCATTATTACAGGCGCTTGATAAAATATCATCAGCACTTGACAACAAGTTGTTAACGATAGGAGTATACTTGGACCTCTTCAAGGCTTTTGATTCCTTAGATCATAGAATACCCATTGATAAGTTACCTTATTATGGTATTAGGGGTATTGTGCTCGATTGGTTTCGTACCTATTTATATGAAAGGGAACAATATGTTGATGTGTGTAATTGTAAATCTGATGTAAGACATATGAAGTACGGCGTTCCTCAGGGATCGATTATCGGTCCCTTACTATTTTTAATTTTTAACATAAAAATATATCTGATGCATACGAGACAATGAATTCTGAAGTTAAATGCCCTAATGAATGGTTTATTAATAATAAGCTTACTGTAAATACAAACAAGACAAAATACATGATCTTTAGTGGGAAAAATACAAATGAAAATACGCAGTTCCTCTGAGTCATCATAGATGAAAAATTAAACTTCACAAGCCATGTAAATATAATTGCAAGTAAAGTATCTAAAATTACAGGTGCTATGAACATTTTAAAAGCTTTTCTACCTTTTTAAGTACTTCTCATCATTTATAAATCACTCATACTACCAACTCTCACTTATGGTTTATCAATATGGGGCTCGGCAAACAAAACTAATCTTAATAGAATTCATACACTTCAAAAAAAGGCACTTCGCATAATTTGTAATGTTCATTTCCTTCACCCTTCAAGGCCTCATTTTATTGCAACAAAATTATTAAATATTTTTGACTTATATGAAAAGAATATTTTAAATCTTATGTTTAAAAACCAAGGAGGAAAATTACCTGACTCATTCGATGATTTTTTTTCCATAAATTGGAATCTCATCATAGCCACAATACAAGGAATAAACATAAATTTGTCATTAATTTCAAAAGAACAAACGTCGGGGAAAAATGCTTCAAATGTGTGGAACCAATTATCGAATGAGTTGAAAAATTGTAAAAATATTTGTTCCTTTAAATATAAATTAAATGAGAGGTATATGAGGGTTTACGAAAATGAGATGGTTCGATGTAATATAAACAACTGTATATTTTGTAATAATCTTTTATCAACCACTTAAATAAATAATACATTAACTCTAATCGTAATTGATGCCTAATCATATTGGTGAAAAATAACTTACAGTAGTTCTTTAAGTGTTAAATGTCATTTTCTACTAAGTTTTTATTATTTTATATAGGGCTCTGCAACTAAAAGCTTGCTTATTTGCAGAGTTCCTTTTTCACGAATTGATCATTTCCTTGTACTTATTTCTCTTTATTATTACGAATTATCATCACGTACTGTACAAATTGTTATATTTTATGACTAAAGTGAAATAAATATTACTTGAATTGAATTGAATTGAAATTGAACTTTTTTATTAAGTATAAGTAGTCGCTTTAGTATGTGTGAGTCCTGAAGTTCTATGAATAGAAAAAGGTCTTAGAAACTGTGATAATATATCGTACGGGCCTCTGTAGTCTAAAGAGTATGACGTTCATCGGGACAGCGATGGATTGCTGATTCGATTCCCACAACTGACCTCTTTTTTCATACAACTAATAAAGAACTTTCGTTGATAAAGTGTTTGGTACGATATAAAACAGTGGCGGATAGTGAGGTTTAGGGGACAAACCCACTCTGTGAAGAACAGTAACAGAATACTACTGTAATGGGTCATGGCCTACAAAGGGCCAGCTAACCTGCCTAGGCTTAAGAAGGTTGGCATATAAGAAACACTATAGGCTTAGCTTAACTAACCTTCAATTAAATAAAATTCTATTTTATTATCTATTTGATGTGT